CATGTTTTTCTCTGCACTCTCATTCAGTTATTTTTAGGAAATGCCATGTAGTTCCCATACACTTGACATCTACCTGCTTTCACTACATCTGGAGAGATTCAGGAAATCAGAAAGTCCTTGTTAAGGATAAGGCCTAGGGTGGAGCTGCGATGTACTTTCCATTTGTAAAACCCAGGCAGAGGAGTCTGTGCAGGTTAAAGACACAGATAAAGAAAAACAATTGATCGAAGAACAATTGGCCCAGCTAGGGTGGAGGTTCTCCAGGCAACCAGGGAGTGGGGGGCTGGACGGAGGGAGGAAGGAAAGGAGGGAGGGAGGGTCTTCAAGGAGGGGTGTCAGGGATGGGGCAGAGAGGGAGCAGACAGTGGATCCTAATCATTACAGACACTGTGCTGAGAACTCTTATCACCTCTCACTGAATCCTTACAGCAGCCCCAGGACATGGGTATGCTCATTATCCCTGTTTTGCAGATGAGAAAACTGAAGTTCAGAGATAAAATGGCTTATCCATGGCCACTGAGCTGCAAAATTGCAGAGCCTGAGTGGGAGTCGGATCTCCTGACCACCTACTCAGTTCTTACAAATCAAACGTTTGTTGGGGGGAGATAGAATGCTTGCAAAAGGAACTCTTGTTTGTCAGCTTTGCTGCATAACAAAATCTTCCAAGCTCAGTGACTTGCAACAAATGTTTATTTCTTGTTCATTACAAGTGAAAATGCCTGGGTAACCTGCAGGTCAGCTGTGGCTCAGCAAAGCTCTGTGAATTTTCTCAGTTTAAGGTCCAGGGTGAAGGTAGTCGCTAACCAGGACATGCTGTCCTCTAACCAGAACTGAAAGAACTACGTAGTCAAATTTCAGCTTTCTGCTCAGAGATGGCACGTTAGAACCGCACATACTCTGTCGACCAAAGCAAGTGACGTGGCCAAGCCCAATGTCAGTGGAGCAGGGAGGGATATTGTCTGTCCTCCCACAGTGAGAGGTGGAGGGTGCTAGAAGGGGGATAAATAGTTGCATAATACAGTTGGCTGGGCCGCACTGGGCTCTGCAGACAGATGCCTGGGTCTGACTCCTATCTCTGTCACTTAATAGTTGTGGTCATATGGCCTACAGCAAAGTGCTTGACCACACTGTGCCTCAGCTTTCTCATCCGCAAAATGGGGATGATAATTATAGTCCTGCATTAATTTGCTAGAGCTACCATAACAAAATATCACAAACTCGGTGGCTTAAATGACAGAAATTTATTTTCTCACAGATCTGGAAGCTGGAAGCCCAAGATCAAGGTGTCCTCAGGGTTGGTTTCTGATGAGGGCTCTCTTTCTGGCTTGCAAATGGCTGCCTTCTAATTTGTCCTCACATGACTTTCTTCTGTGCATATGGTGAGAGTGCTTTCTGGCACTTTTTTTTTTTTTTTTTTAATAGGAACATCAGTTCTAGCAGATTGTGGCCCCACCATTATGATCTCATTTAACCTTATTATCTTCCTAAAGGTCTTATCTCCAAATACAGTCATCTTGAGGGTTAAGGCATCAACATATGAATTTGGTGGGGGTGTAGGGGACAGTTCAGTCCATAGCAAGGGCCAATTCTGCAGCGCTGTTGTGATGATTTAAATGGATTAGGATAGTGTCTGGCCTACAGGCAAGCACTGAATAAGAGCTAGGCTGCTCTTAGTGCCCTGGTGGTAGCAGGCCCCACAGTATCATGATTGGGCATTCCCTGCAATGACAATGCCTCATTTGCTTGCTTTGTCCTTTGCAACCTCTCCCAATTCCTGGCATAAATGAGGTGACCAGGAAATGGATGCTTGTGTGCCCCAGTGAGTCCTGAGGCAGTTGACAGAAGGCACGCAGGGTTTGAGGTGCCCTGGGCTGCACTCGCTGCTGTGTTGCTGACCTGCTTGGTGACTTTGGTCAAGCCACCGTCTTCTGCCAGCCAGGATGCATCTTATTAAGACAAAGCTTGTTTTGTCCACAAAATCTCAGCAGATTTCATTTGCCCGTGGCCTTTTGTGGCTATTCCTAAGTATTGGGTAGTGCTCAGAGCCAAAGTGCTTGAGATTGGGATTTTGTTGTTGTTGTTGTTGTTTGTTTTTGTTTTTTGTTTTTTTCTTGAGACGGAGTTTCACTCTTATGACCCAGGTTGGAGCACAGTGGCACAATCTTGGCTGTCTGCAACCTCCGCCTCCCTGCAACCTCTGCTTCCTAGGTTCAAGCGAGTCTCCTGCCTCAGCCTCCCAAGTAGCTGGGATTACAGGCGCCTGCCACCACACCTAGCTCATTTTCGTATTTTTAGTTGAGACAGGGTTTCACTATGTTGGCCAAGCTGGTCTTTGAACTCCTGACCTCAAGTGATCCGCCCACCTTGACCTTCCAAAGTGCTGGGATTACAGGCTGAGCCACTGCACTCGGCCAGAGAGATTGTTTCTTTTACAGAAATGTTCTTATAGATTCCAAATTGACAGTAATTCTCCAAACCCCCTCCCACAGCTACTGCTCCCCACCTTAAGACAGCACCTAATGACCCTGCCAGATAGGGCCAGGCTGGACAGGCACAGGAGAACTTACTCTCGCTGCCTGTGTCTGGGGCAGTTTTTGGGTTATGCCTAAGTGCACACACTTCCTTGGGGTTGGGGGTGGGTGAGAACAGCCTTTGACCTGCAAACCTGGGTTCCAGTCCCCATTCTGCCCTTGCTCCCCTTAGTCCACCGAGCTGCTCGACCTCCAAGCTTCGGTTTCCTTCTGTGGGTGATGGCGAGGCCGGAGCTACCCCAAGGGACTGCCATGGGGCTAAATAATGGATGTGAAAGGCCTTAACCCAGTGCCAGGCACACAGCAGGTCCCAGAAAAAGGATGTGCCATCCTCTCACTTTCTGTTTACCCCACCCATCCTCATCCTTCACTGAGTGAGTGTTTTCCTGCTCTTGAGTAGCTACCCACAGACACAGAACCACCCAGGCTTAAGGCGACCTCTTGGGATTCCGTGGCAACACTGAGAAAGCCTGTGTGGATTTTTCTATCCTCGCTCGTGTTACCTTTCCCACATCTGGCCTTGCTTAGAAAGAACGATGTCTGAGGCTGTTTGTTTAGTAGAGAGCTCTGTTAGCTGAGGAGGGACAGATTAAAGGCCGTGGGGACAGCCAAGCCTGTCCAAGTCCCCTTGCCTGGTGTGGCTCAGCCCGGCAGCGTTGGGAGGGAGAGCACCAGGTGAAAGTTCTTGGCGTCCTCCCAGCTCGTTGCTAATTCGTTATTTGTATGATGACTGATGCAGTACATTTTTGACCCTCTCAGTCTCAACTTCCTCATCAGGGAAACAGGAACAAAGATACCTTCTGTGAGATGTGCAGCATCTGGCCCAGAGTAGAAGGTGATGATGATGATGAAGATGATGATAGCTCAGCCCTTAGGGAGCATTGCTGACAGGCCAGGAATGCTTTAAGCACTTCATATTCATTGACCCTCTTAATCTTCTTGGCAACCCTAGGAGGTGGGCTCTATTATTCTTTTTCTTTACAGATGAGGAAACTGAGGCACAGTGAGGTTAAGTGACTCCGGGCAGGATGTACCGCCAGTGAATGACAGGGCTGGGAATTGGACCCAGGCTGCCTTGCTCCATCGCCCCCGACCCTCATCACTGCCCTCAGACCCAGGTGACATTAATTATGTCAAGCTGTGTCTCCTCCCTACAACCTTCCCTGCACTGTTGGGGAAAAGGACACAAAGAGCAGATGTTGCTTGTTCTGAAAAGTACTTACTTTTAATTAAACTAAAAATGTCCCTTTCGCGTTGTTTCTCTAGAGAGTCAGAGGCAAGGCAGCCCCTCCCTGGGCACCTGCTCCCTCCTCCAGGCCCCCGTGGGCCTCTCGGCGTGATATTAATGTCTGAAGGCCTCCGACTCATCCATTATTGATGGGGCATGATGGGTACACTGTGGGGAGAGGGTGAGATTGAGGCCCAGGCAGTCTTAACAGCTCAGGAAGTTCTTTTTATCCCTGTCCCTGGTGGAAAAGTGCATTACAGGTGACAGGCGCAAAAGCAGCTGTGACCGAAGCTACTGCCAGCCGTGGGTAGGGCATGATTATCATTTGTTATTGCCCCCTACTGAGCACCCACTTCTCATTCAGGATTTAGGAAAAAAATTACAGCAATGGCAACACCACTTCTCTGATCTTGAGTCTTAGGTTCACATCTCTCTGTTCCTTCACAAAATGCCTAGCTGTCTGTTTCCTGCCAGTTAGAAGAATATGCCAGACTCAGAACTACCTCCCGCCCCGGCCCAATGAGATCTGTGACCTGCCCCCAGCCCTATTGTGAATGCACACACTTCCTTGGGGTTGGGGGTGGGTGAGAACAGCCTTTGACCTGTAGACCTGGGTTCCAGTCCCCATTTTGCCCTTGCCCCCCTTAGTCCACCGAGCTGCTCGACCTCCGAGCTTTGGTTTCACTCTGTGTGTGATGGCGAGGCTGGAGCTACCCCAAGGGACTGTCATGAGGCTAAATAATGGATGTGAAAGGCCTTAACCCAGTGCCGGGCACACAGCAGGTCCCAGAAAACGGATGTGCCATCCTCTCACTTTCTGTTTACTCCACCTGTCCTTATACTTCAGGGTTTGAGCAAGATCCGCTTGTCCTGGCCCTCTTTGACTCATTCCTCCCCCATTTCAGTGTTTTGCACGTTGGTTAAAACTCTTTGGGGCAGGCTCTCCAAATTTAGTATTTTTACAACAGGAAGTGGTCTTAGAGCTCATGCAGCTCAGAGCTTTCTGTTTGCAGTTTGGGACAGGAAGCTTCTGCACGAAGGTCCCCTGGCTCCCGTCCAGTGCTCCTTAAGTGACTATCTTCTTTCCCCACACTGAGTGCCTTGATAGGGCTCAGAGGCTTCATGTGAGCACTTAGCATTTACTGTGTATATCTGAGCCAAGCAGGGACAGAAACTGTCTCACCAATCCTCACGCCCTGTCCCCATGCTCAGTGTCCTGAGTATTTTCTTCTGTTTTTCAGGTGAAGAAACTGAGGCTCAGAGAAGTTAAGAGACTCCATTGAGGTCACACAGCCGGTAAGTGGCAGAGCTGGGATTCGAACCCAGCTCTCTTTCACTCCAGAACCTGTGCTCTAAATTGCCTTGCTTTCTTTGCCTTAAAATGGGGAGACCTGGGACTTTGTTTTCTGTTTTGATGGTGCTCACACAGATTCCTGGGTTGAAAGGAGAGGGCCCCTGGGTCCAAGAATTCAGAAGGGTGGTGGCGTTTGAGAAAAACAGCCCCATTCCCAGTGGGTGCCGTGGCTGGGACAAACCCGGAGCTTCAGCACACCCGGGTTCAGGATGGAGCCCACTGTGGCCAGCAGGGTCCTGGGTCCATTCTCCCAGGAGGGTTGCTCCGAGGCCGCAGGATCTCTAGGAACCAGACCCCTGGAACCCCACAGCAGGGCCCAGGTGCCCCTTCGTGTGCTGTGTGCCTCACGTTCTGCCTCAACCACAGAGGAGCCCGGCAGGCAGGACTCAGTCTCACTCAGCACCACTCTGGATGGTTGCATAGTTACACGGTGTGGTTTGTAGTATTTTTGGTTTTGTTGTTTTTGCAAAAGCCAAAGGAAGTCTGTGGGCTGAGTTCTACCTTCCCTTCTTTGAGGATAGTTGGTCTGCTCAGTCAGGGGCAAGCAGAGCTCAGCTAGGGGAAAAAACAAAAACAAAACAAAACAAAAAAACCCTCCAAACACAAAGTTCACAGATCAGAGGGCACCTGACCTAGCCGGACAGTGGCACTGTGGCTGTTCATGGGCAGGGCTCATTGGAAGTTCCGTTACAATCATCCCATTTTCCAGATGAGGACACTGAGGCCCAGAACCAACCACACCCTCACCTCTTGGGAGGCACAACTCAGAATGAATCTTTGCTCCCTGAGTGCTGAGTGCTTTGCTGTTTCACAGCTCGCTGTCCCTGCAGTCCACACATACTCATTGAGGGCCTACTGCTGCTCCCAGCAGGCACACAGCAGTCAGGGAGTCGGTTGAACTGGCTGCCTCCTGGTGGGGGAAGACAGAGAGACAGACATTCAGTCCACTGTCAAGTGCTAGTTCCTCATGAAGGCTGTGAAGGGGAATGCCACAGAACAAGTGGCACAGACAGCGATGCTATTTTAGGGTGATCAGGCTAGGCTTCTCCAAGGAAAAGCATTTGGACAGAACCGTGAATGCAGTGGGTGAGCAAGCCATATGAATTCTGGGGTAGGAACAGTATTGGTAGAGGGAACAGCAGGTGCAAAGGCCCTGAGGCAGAGAGTATGCTTGGTGTACCATCACGCTCTTTCAGTTTGATTCTCTGGGTGTTTGCTACCCCACCCCCCACCACCATCACAGTGGCTGCTCACCTTTAGTATCCCTTCCTTAGTCACCTCCAAGTGTCTGCAGGAGTGTGGCAGTGGGATGGGGGTTGTGTAGCAAGAAAAATCAAACAAAATTGCACGGGGCAGAAGAAAGGTGTATAATAGGAAACTACTTGTCTTAGTCCTTAATCCTCTTTGCACAATTTCTGTCTTTGATGAAGCTTGCAATGGTTTCATCTTCTTGCTTTGTATGTATTCTCAAAATACCTTCTTTAACTAGAGCTGTGAGTTCTCAGCACACTGCAGTCTACTATGTCAGGCCAGTCTTTCCAGGCAGAGCAGGAACCCAGATTCAAAAACCACAGAAATAGGAGAAGAAATAGTTTTGGAAACTACACTGCCAACCTTGTGCTGAGCTCAGGGAGGGAGGTGCAGCAGGCAGACAGTGGCTGGGTGGGGGTGCAGTGGCTGACAGACCTCCGGACCTCTGTCTGGGCACAGCCATTAGGCTCAGGCCCCTGTGTGCGGACTCAGGTCCCTCCTTCATCACAGGGTGGTGGTAGCACCAGCCGAGTTCCTGGGGGAGCGGTTCGTGGGGCTGGGTGTGCTGGAAGAGACATGCTGAGGAGTTAGGGACCCCAGGTTCTCTCTGACTTTGTTTTCTGTTTTGATTTTGCTCACATAGATTTATAAGTTGATAAAAAAGAAGGGCTCCTGGGTCCGAGAACTCGGAAGAGGGGTGGTATTTGGGAAAAATAGCCCCATCCCCGTTGGGTGCCATGGCCTGGACAATCCCAGAGCATCCACACACCAGCGTTCAGGATTGAGCCCATTATGGCCGGCAGAGGCCCTGGTCCCCGTCCCAGGAAAGTTGCTCTGAGGCTCCAGGCTCTCTAGGAACCAGACCCCTGGGCTCCACAGCAGGGCCAGGTGCCTCGTCATGTGCTGTAGTCTCATCTGAGTGCCACCTCGGCCAGTGTACAACCTTGGGCAAGTCTCGCCCCCTCCTGGAGACTCTGAAACTGGAACAGAAAGGTGTGGTCATCTGTATGTTCCTGTGGTCTGGAAACGCTACAACCTTTTTGCCTCTAAGGCAGGTAGCAGCCAGGCATGGGGACTGGGCTTCTGTCAGCTCCCCTTTGATTCTGTAGACCTCTGGCTCTTAGCAAAGAGATGTCCTAGAAAGGGGGGCAGTACCTTGGTGATCCTGTCTTGGACATTTAGACCAGAGCTTCCACCCATTCTCACCTCTCCTTGACCTGAGACCTGTGGCTGCAGAACCAGAAACTCATTTCCAGAAGCAGCAGAATGTCTGTTTCCACAGGGCTCAGAAGCATTTATTAAGCCTTCCATTAACTGCATCTTACTCCGCTGGAAAAATAATAGAAAGCAATTCTGTCTGGTTTCTGGCCTGTAAGCTCCTGAAGAGTTCTTGTAAGGAAGGCTCAAAAAACGCCTGTGCTGTGTGACTCGGAGCCCAGCCCTGCAGCTTCCCTCCAAGGAGCAGGCAGCTCAGTGGTTGACCAGCAAGCCCATTATCATTCAGCACCATTGGGTAATCCATGTGTCTGCCTGTCAATTAAACAAGTGCTTAAGAGGGGCCTGGGGCCAGGGGCACATACCGAGAGTACTAAGGCTAAATAAGACACAGCGCGTGCCCTCCACAGCAGTTCAGGCGCAACATGACCACTTTCTCTATTCGGTAAAACTCAGAGAGTTCTTGACTTTATTATTCGCAGTTCAAAAGCGGCGTGAGCTTTTGTGTCGGCTCCCCTTCACCCCCTAAGTGCCATAGTGGGCATGCAGAGGGCCCATATAGATGCCTGCACATGCAATGGGTTACGATATAGGACAGGAACACCAAGCTTGGGGGGATCCACCATCTTGTGACAGACAGCGAGCAAGCCAGCTTTTTGTCCCAGAGGGAGACATTACCGCATGTCTCAGGATTGGTTGCTGCAAATGCAAGCCAGGTACAGAGCAGTCAGAGCCTCGCATTCTTTGTCTACCCAGCAAGATGTGTAGGAATGCAAGAAACTCATGGAGAAATGTCTGCAAACAATGCATTAGCATTGCACATATCTGGATCTGAATCCTACCTCTAACAATTTAACTAAGTGTTAAATTGGGTAAATTGCAATCACTGGACTTCTCAGCCTCAGTTTCCTCTTCTATAAAGTGGGGATAATGCCTACTTTCCAGGTGATTGTAAAAGAGAGTGTAGGGTCACTCCTCTGGGAATACAGTAGGGAACTAAGAAAGCCCTTGAGTTCAAGAAACTTAGTTGCTTGGGGAATCCTTTCAGCTATATGTAAGTATGCAATGTCAGTTAGTCATGTGTGTGGCTTATGCCTGTAATCCCAGCACTTTGGGAGGCTGAGGCAGGCAGATCACGAGGTCAGGAGATGGAGACCATCTTGGCTAACATGGTGAAACCCTGTCTCTACTAAAAGTACAAAAAATTAGCTGGGCGTGGTGGCACATGCCTGTAGTCCCAGCTACTCGGGAGGCTGAAGGAGGAAAATCGCTTGAACCCAGGAGGTGGAGGTTGCAGTGAGCCAAGATCGTGCCACTGCACTCCAGCCTGGGCGACAGAGCGAGACTCTACCTCAAAAAAATAAAAAAAAATAAAAGAATAGAGGAAAAAATGCAGAGGCCGATACATATCATGGTTCAGGGACAGTTTCTGCAAGGATTTGCCATTTGACCCAGCATCCTGAATGGAGTAAAGGAATGACGTTACTACCTGTGGGAAGAGCATTCTGGGCAGAACAGATAGCCTGTGCGTAGGTCCTATGCTTGGCCTGCTTGAGGGATAGCGTGGAAGATGATGCAGCTCTGCAGAGTGAACAAGGAAAAGGCATGGAAAATGGAATCAGAGAGTAGGCAGGGACCAGTTCATATAGGATCTTGCAGGCCTTGATGAGAGCCTTGGATTGCATTGTGGGTGTGGAGAGAACCCACTGGAGGCTTCAGGTAGGTGGGGGCAGGAGGAGAAAATGGCATGGAGGAGGCCGGGAGAGGCTGCAAGGTCTGGGATTTGCTTTTATCCTGCTGCTACTAACAAGTTAGCCTGTTAGTGTTTCACGGATCCTGGCAGAAGACGTGAGATTCCTGGGTCGGGAGTGTTGTAAAGTGGGAAAGATCTGACTGCTTTTTGTGCACAAAGCCTGAGCTCAGAATGAACTCTTCTGAGTTTGAAGGGGGATGATAGCTCAGTCAACACTTTCAGAAGCTGAGCCTCGGTCAACAAATAGGAATGAGATTCTTGGAACAGATTCCAGAACACAGCGTATCAGAAGGCTCTTATTCTCTCTCAGCCTCCACATCTTACCTGCAAAATAGGGAGAACATTGCTTCCCAGGCATATTGTGGGGCCTTGTAAATAGAAATTGAATCTGAAGACTTATTCTCTGAGTTAATAAGAAACAGCAAATTCTTCCTAATAATTTATCCTTCTAGGTTTTTGATGATCCTCTTTCTTCACTGAGAAGCTATTAATGTTTCTATGTAGCTCTGGTGCACAACACACACACTCTCAGACATGCTTGCAAAGTTTGCCTGCCAGTGTCTTCCTAGATAAAGGATGGTGTTGGTCATTTAGGGGACAAGCAGAGAGAAGAAGGTGAAAAGAGTCAGAACCCCAGAGGGGCAAGAGAAAATAGCCAGGGCGGCCTCTTTTTTTCTTTTTTTTTCTGATACAGAGTCTTGCTGTGACGCCCAGGCTGGTGTG